TCCGCAATCATCCCACATCCAATCATCTTTAACGGATGGCTCGACCTTGAACGCAACCGACCCATCCTAACAAACACCTTACCCAACTGATCCACCACTCACACTTGACCCTATTGCTTAGACAATCCCAATCCCACAATTGCAAACATCAGCCACCATCAGCAACCCTACCCAATCTGTCATGACTGACAACCCGCACCCGCGAACCTTACTAGGCTCGACTCTCCCTCACGGGTCGAGTGGACAATACCATGCTCAACAAACCCATTCTGGTATGATTCATCTCCACAGCTCGAGCCATCCTCTGAGTACACCCCTAATCATCCATGCCAGCCAAAACAACTGTTCGATCACACTAGGATCGACTAACCCGAAGGGGTGACTGAATACACCAGCCTCCAGCCGAACTACCCTAGAACACATCCCTAATCCACACCCTATAACATGACTCGTCTGGGAGGACCGACTAGATCGCAAGCGCACAATCAGAGTGTCGACTTTCAACTATTAGCCACATGCACCCCTCTTGAGCAAATATTGGCGAATATGGAGGCCATAATGAGGCACATACTGGGAGTGCCCACACCTACCAAAAAGAGCCTACCCTACAATTACGCAGATTCACCTTTTTTGGATTCAATTGCCTTGGCTGAGATGCCACCTAAATTCACTATTCCTAACATGAAGCCATATGATGGGACGATCGACCCAGATGTGTTAATAGGCCGATTTGGCCATGTGTTGTTTATGTGTGAGGACAAGTGATAGTCAAGATTGGATCCGTTGACTTGGTATAGATTGATATCAAGTTCCTATACAAATGTCAAGATACATTTGAAAAGGGAAATCTCTGTCTGTGGTATACAAAATGTTACATGAAAGGTTGTTTCATGGTGACACGTTCCGTATGTATTGTATTAAAATTAAGATAAGGATTTTGACATACCATGAATCCATTCTTAATTGGGATTAGATAACGGAAGGATTTGATTATACAACGTGTATGATTGTAAAAGGTTCGTTGAAGTATATCTTCATTCTAGTTCTTGCAAATCCATAACTCTCTCCGGCACAAAGGTATTGTGAAAAAATGAAAGGATGAGAAGAGGGAGAGTTGGGAAGATGAAATTGGAAGAACTTGGCCATGGCGATCACTCTAGTTGTGACAATTTTTTACTCTGGCTGGTTATGAATATTTATAGTGGGAAAAGCATGCAAATTAAATTAAAAAAATAATGTTTGTTGATTATTATTATATATATATAGTGGCCCTAGTAGTGGAATTGTTTTTTTTTTTTTTTTTTAGTATATATAATAAATTAGGGCCGACTTCTAAGTCAAAAATTAGGTAGAATTTTGTCTGTTTAGGTTATTTTGAATATTTTTAGAAATCGAATTTTTGCCTCAAATTTATTTTTTTGTATTTATTTATTTATTGAACCTTTTTTAAAGCTTGGCAGAGTAAATATAAATATATATATTAAAAATACATCAATAGATTTATTAAAAATATATTTTACAGTAATAGAAAGATTGAAATAATATTAAAATTATATATAAATATCATTCATATATATTACTAGAAGTTAATCATATACTTATATTCTCGACCGTTGGATTTCCCATTAACTAATTGTAATAACTTTTTATATATTATTAAAAAAGCTTCGTATAAAATATTTATGCCCTACCAACACAATTACACTACATTCAATTGTAAAGGGAAATTCCTCTAATTATTTTTTACTTTTTCAATAATTATTTAAAATTGGCCCATACTGTTTTTTAGGCTTAGGGTTGTTTGTTTGCTGGTAAGTCTGAATAATCTTGTAATTTATTGAAGCATTGTGGAAAATTCCATAGAGTGCGAACCAGTTTATTGGTTTTTGGCCTAATTCATTATTTGAGACCCTACTCACTATTCATTCAACTAATAAATGCATAGGTTGGTTAATCACATCAAATAAGGTTTTTGAGTGGTTCATGTAACAAAGCTTCTTAATAATTTGGTGAAGAATATAATAATAAAAAATAACAATATAATAACATAGGTGCAAATTAATAATATTGAAGAGGACAGGTTAATTAAAATTTATGTAATCATATTTCAATGGGATTACCTAGCAAAAAAATGAGTAAAATATTTTTTTGTATATGACCAAAGCTCTTTTTTTTTTTTTTTTTTTTTTTTAATTTTTTTATTGGGTTTATAAATATGAGGTTTAATAAACTTCGTTTTCAATTACTTGTTTATTATTCTTGGAGTATACCTACTCTATTGTTTTTCACTTTTTTGTAATTTATTACTCGAATAGTTTGTCTTTTCTCGGGTTTTTTATGTGTTCTAGCACCTAGTTTTATTTAATAAAATATTTAGGCCTGCATATAATTTTTTTTTTTTTAAATGCTTTCATACAAAAGCATAATATATATAATTAAAATGAATAATGATGGGTCAATATTGGAATCTTGCTTTTTTAAAATGGATAGGGGATTGTTATTCAATCACCGCCTCAAGGAAAAAAATTGTTGATAACTCATTAATAATTAATTAATAATGCTAAACATAACTCAATTGTTCAATCTCTTGAGGCCGTATCAAACTTATAAGCTAAGTGTTGGTTTGTGGATCAGAAACGGATGGAATGAAGGTATTATGAATGAAATCATTGGTATGAAATTATTATGAATTAGTAAAGTGAGATTACTTTGTTTACTTTAACAAGAACGTTGATGGAATAGAAACATTTGTGTACTTTTGGATAAAAATGCTCTTAATTTATTTTATTTAATATAAAATTTCAAAATATTTAAGATGAAAAAAATAAAATTATTTTTAAAAATTTTTAAACCTGTCAATGTCGATCGAAACAGTCGACTGACACTAAATGATTAAAGGCAGCCAATCTGTCAATCCAAGTGATGACCATTATTATTTATACCATTAAAAGGATAATAAAGTAACATTTAATAGAAGCTACTTTAATCATTGGGGAGCAAATAATTATAATATTAGTAGTAGGTTTCCATTTTTGTTTAATCTTTACTTTAGTATTATTCGTTTTTGAAGATTAGAATTATTGGGCATTCAATCACGTGAATCCTTATAGCGTGTTCGGAATGTTTTATTGCCAGCACAAAATCACCGTCCAGCACTATTCTTTTTATATCTTTTTAGCTGGTGTTTGGGTGCCTACGCACTGTTTAATTACTACATTAGCACAATACTTGATTAAATTATTAGAAATTTAATTAATTATAACATTAAATTATAAATTTATAGTATGATTACTTAATTAGTTATAATATTATGTTATAAACAAATGATTACTTAATTAAATAATTACTTAATTAATTATAACATTTCATTATAAACACTAGTACAATACTTAATTAAATTATTAGAAATTTAATTAATTATAATATTATATTACTTAATTAATATATATTATTTACCCCTAATTCAACTAAAATAAAAAATAATAATAAATACAATTTACTTTTAATTTTTATAAAGATAAATATAGTAAACCTATATGCTTTAGGGGTTTTTGTTATCTATATAATTAAGTGTTATTACTTTTACCTTAAGGAAAATACAACAAATCTAATAGATTCTATTAAGCATATGGTGAAGAGGGGAGGTCTAAGGGGAGGTTAGAAATCCCAACATTCCTCTTCAAGTTGGTGCGTAGATGTCACACATGTCTAACTTGTCTAAAAGTTGTGAGAAAATATGTTTGGAGATAGCCGCCAGTGGATCCTTTGATCGAATCTTGGGCAATTGACATCTACGCACCAACTTGAGGAAGAGTGTTGAGATTTCTTGTATATTTTTTTAATATTACATAATCTCCTATTTTTGTTAGTTTTATGATACTCATAATGTTTATGATATCCTGTAATTTCCTAATTATGTCAGTATGTTGTAATTGAAATAATTAGGAGATTCTGTAGATCGTATCTCCCCTATAACTAGCCTATAACTCTGTGTAAATCAGTGAATTGAAATATCCAATTCTTCAACCAAACATGTTCCTCCCTAGAATTATGACGGGTAACCATTATTATTACCGTTATATTTTCCTTATGTAAAAAAAAAATTCATAACCATTAACAATCCAAATTCTTCTTCTTGCGCAGCTAATGCATAAAACCCTTAGCCTTCCCCACCAATTTCGAGCTCAATTTGTGACCTTTTGTTAAGGGATCATCAATCATGTTGACTGTGCGAAAAGGGTCAATGAATGCAAAGGCGGCGACACCACTTTGACACTTTCACGGCAATGCCAATCCAAGTGAAAATGGCTAAGTTTTTTCTTTCTTGAGGTTGAAGAGCTTCATGTCTAGGGTTTTTGCATAACCATAACTCCCTCTGGAGACAAAGGCAATTGCGAAAATTGAAAGGAGTAAGAAGATGGAGATTTGGGAAGATGAAATTGGAAGTATTTTGGCCATTCCGAGTTGTGACATTTTTTTTATATAGAATGATTAGGGATATAAATAGAGAGAACTATGTAAATTAATAAAAATATAAAACTGCTTGGTGATTAATTTATTACATAGTCTTATGAGTCATGACATTTTTATATAAGTGGTTGAGAAGTTGTTTTGAGATTTAGCATATACAATTTATCTAAATAATGAGTATTGTTTTGGAGAAATGAATCTTATTGATTTTTCTACAGAGATTTTGACTAAATTAGAGGCCGACTTCTAAGTCCAAAAATTAGGTAGAATTTTGTCTGTTTAAGTTATTTAAATTTTTTTTTTTTAGAAAAATACTTAAATTAGATTGTATTGGAATAAACGTTTATTATATATTAATAAATCCAAATTCTAAAACATATTTTTTTTATTACAAAGTTAACAGGTAACAGCACAAGGGCTACTTAATTAGCTTATTAAAATCAATCAAAAGGAAGCTAAAACATAACTCAAAACTAATTGAATAACAATTAATAAATTGAAGCTAGCAATTAAATAATTAAAATGTCAAAATTAAGATAGCATCTATTAAATAATTAATTAATCAATAATGTAACACATATATATTGTACTCAACCACTGCATCTCCGGTGGTCATATCATTTTTGCTAGTGCTAGCATGAACATAACCTCTAGCATATCGAAAAAGTCCGCTGCCTCCGATCACTGGCATCTCTCTAACATCGGAAAACACCTTATTCCTCCCTAAAATCGTGATCGTGCTACCATTATATTTCCCTTCCATAAAAACAAAATTCATAACCATCATCAATCCAAATTCCTCTTGTGCAGCTGATGCATACATCCCTTGAGCCTTCCCCACCAATTTTGAGCTCAATTCGGGCCCTTCCGTTAAGGGATCATCGATCATGCTGATTGCGCCGAAAAGAGTCGAAGAATTTGTAGGCGACGACACCACTTTCACCGCGGAAGGGTTCTTGCCACTGTAGGTGTCATGCCAGAAGAGGCGAAAATGGCTAAGCTTTTCTTTCTTGAGGTTGTAGAGCTTCCTGTCTAAGGTTCTTGCAAAGCCATAACTCTCTCCTGACACAAGGTGATTGAAAATGAAAGGATGAAGAAGATGGAGAGTTGGAAGATAAATTGGAAGAACTTTGGCCATGGCGATCACTCTAGTTGTGACAATTTTTTACTTGGCGGGTTATGATTATAGAGAGAAAAGAATGCAAATTAAATTAAAAAATATGTTTGTTGATATATATATATATATATATATATATATATATATCCTTAAGTATGTGGGAATTTGTTTTTTTTTTTTTTAGTAATATAATAAATTAGAGGCCGACTTCTAAGTCAAAAAATTAGGTAGAATTTTGTCTGTTTAAGTTATTTTGAATATTTTAGAAATCGAAGTTTTTGCCTCAATTTTTTATTCTGTATTATTTTATTTTAATTGAACCTTTTTAAAGCTTGGCAGAGTAATATAAATAGATTATTTTAAAAATACACAATAGATTTAATTAAAAAATATTTTACAGTAAATAGAAAGATTGAAATAAAATTAAAATTATATATAAATATCAATATCATTCATATATATTACTAAAGTTATCATATATCTTATATCTCGACCGTTGGATTTCCCCATTAACTAATTGTAAATAACTTTTTATATTATTTAAAAAAGCTTCGTATATAAAATATTTATGTCCTACCAACAAAATTACACTACATTCAATTTGATAAAGGGAAGATTCCCTAATTATTTTTTTAACTTTTTCAATAATTTATTAAAAAAAAATTGGCCCATACTGTCGTTTAGGCTTGGGGGTTGTTTGTTTTCTGGTAAGTCTGAATAATCTTGTAATTTATTGAAGCATTGTGGAAAATTCCAAATAGAGTGTGAGCCAGTTTATTGGATTTGGTGGCCTAATTCATTAATTTGAGACCCTACTCACTATTTCATTCAGCTAATTAAATGCCAATAGGTTGGTTAATCACATCAAATAAAGGGTTTGAGTGGTTCATGTAACAAACTTCTTAAATAAGTTGGTGAAGAAATAACAAATTAATAAAAAAATAATTAATAAACATAGGTGCAAATTAATAATATTGAAGAGGACAGGTTAAATTAATAATTTAATGTAATCAATATTTCAATTGGGATTACCAAGCAGAAAAATTGAGTAAAATATTTTTTATATATGACCAAAGCTCATTTTTTTTTTTTTTTTTTATTGGGTTTATAAATATGAGGTTTAATAAAACCTTCGTTTTCAAGTTACTTGTTTATTATTATTTGGAGTATACCTACCCTATTGTTTTTCACTTTTTTGTAATTTATTACTCGAATAGTTTGTCTTTTTCTCGGGTTTTTTATTGTTCTATGCACCTAGTTTTATTTAATAAAATAGTTAGGCCTGCATATAAATTTTTTTTTTTTTTAAATGCTTTTCATAACAAAAGCATAAAATATATATAATTAAAATTGAATAATGATGGGTCAATATTGGAATCTTTGCTTTTTAAAAATGGTATAGGGGATTGTTGTTATTCAATCACACCTCAAGGAAAAAAAATGTTGATTAACTCATTAATAAATTAATTAATAATGCTAAACATAACTCAATTGTTCAATCTCTTGAGGCCGTATCAAACTTATAAGGCTAAGTGTTGGTTTGTGGATCAGAAACGGATGGAATGAAGGTATTATGAATGAAAATCATTGGTATGAAATTATTATGAATTAGTAAAGTGAGATTACTTTGTTTACTTGTAACAAAGAACGTTGATGGAATAGAAAACATTTTGTTACTTTTGGACAAAAATGCCCTTAATTTATTTTATTTAAATATAAAATATAAAATTTCAAAATATTTAAGATGAAAAAAAATAAAATTATTTTTAAAATTTTTAAACCTGTCAATGCCGATCAAAATGGTCGACTGACACATAAACTATTAAAAGCAGCTGATCCGTCGATCTAGGTGATGACCATTATTTATGTATACCATTAAAAAGGATAAACAAAGTAAACAATTAATAGAAGCTACTTTAATTATTTCGAGAAGAAAATAATTATAATATTAGTAGTAGGTTTCCATTTTGTTTAATCTTTACTTTAGTATTATTCGTTTTTTGAAGATTAGAATTAATTGGGCATTCAATCACGTGAATTCCTTATAGCGTGTTCGGAATGTTGTATTGGACAGCACAAAATCACCGTCCAGCACTATTCTTTTTATATCTTTTTAGCTGGTGTTTGGTGGCCTACAGCACTGTTTAATGCTCCGAAGAGCACGGGAAGGCCCAAATGATACCTGTGGTCCAAATAAGACCGGTGGGGCGCAACAAGTCCATTTTAAGACTGCATTTGATGTAACGCACTAAGCAATTATGGTGTAACACCGAATGAAATTTATAATTAATTATAAATAAATATAATTATTTTAATAAATAAATCATTTAAATGTTTAAAAAATAGTGATTGTAATAATTATTTAAATAATAAATAAAAAATATCTAAAAGTGTCTCATTGAATGACCAGACGCTTATTGCTGGCAACGATGCCCGTTACAATTTTGATGGTGCTTCTAAGGACATCATTAATATAATTAGATAACTCTGTTGGCGATTGCTTGATGATGTTAAGCGGGCAGGCTATCAGCAATTACATTTCGCCAAAAAAGCTTATATATATAATTAATTAATTAGATTGATATCAAAATGGAATGTGTGGGGGTCAAAACTCACCTGGGCCTCTATCAGGCCCAAGCCTACATCTTCTATCACTAAGGCCCGAGGATATGGTCCAACCCTGGTTGGGCCAACGCTGAATTCCATGACTTGGGCCCAAACCCAGCATCCTACCAAAATGGGCTTCGTCAACAGCCCACCACAGGCTGAGCCTCTAAAACAAGGTAAGTAGGATTCATCATCTTCGGGTCTATCCTGATCCATCCAAGATTCTGTATCTTGGATGAGTTAGGACTCTTGCTACTAATGAGGCAAGTGAATCGAGGTTTTCCTGTTTCATTAGATCTCCTCCTATGTGGATTCCGAATCTTACTGGGATACGAGCATCCCACAACTACTATATAAATAGGGGTTATCTGTAACGCCCACTTTGAGGTATGTCATTTATACAAGCTTATTGGCCCTTAATGTTGTTCGTTTGTCCTTGGTTAAGTTTGTATATTGTGAATAATGCATGGTTGCCCTGAATTTGGTGAAGGATTGGTGAAATTAGTGAATTACAGACTTCGCCGGGGCGAAGAATAAGCCTTGCCACAGCGACATACGCTCTGTAATTTTTCACCGAGGCGAAGATGGGCGAAGAGCTGGCTGAATTTCTTGGGAAGTTTCTAGAGGATTTTTCCATAGGGGTAAAGTGACCATTCTACCCCTAATTAGTAGGAAAAGTGGGGAGTGAAAAGTAAGAAAATTTCATAGAGAATGCATTGGAAATGGGGGTGTATTTGTAAAGAATTAAAGGGCAAAGATGAAATTTCTAAGAAAGTATAAAGGTAAAATGGGAAAGAATGTGTATTTATATGAGATATTAAGGGTAGTTTTACAAACCCTCCCATTCTCTACACCCCACACACCACTTCCACTCTCCATTTCTCTCATCTTTTCATCAAATTCCCAAGGAAGATTTAAGGGCTTTTGGTTGGATTTTGACAGAGATTTGATCCTAAGCATCGAAAGGTAATGATTTTTATTATAAATATGAGATTGATTTGTGTAAGTGTTGAATTCTTATAAAGTTTATGCTTAGGGTTTGAGAGAAGGAATAAGTCTACCAAAGATAGAGAGATTCTTGTGGACTTACTCAAGCACAAGGTAAGTAAATTCAACCCAAGCTAAGCTTCAAGTAATCAATTTGTGTAGAGATTTTATATGCATGTATATGCTTATAATTTTGAGATTGATTGTTGAGAATGATGTTTTTGATGAGTAGATGGCTTTTGATGAATAGATTTAAGCCAGAATGAGAAAGAATAAGAAAGAAGAAGAATAAGAATGAGAAAGCATGAGCAAGCAAGAAAAGAAAAGAAAGAAAAGAAAAGAGAGAGCAAGAAAGAAAGGAAGAAACATAGAGGAAGAAAAGAAACATAATAAGAAAAAGAAAAGAAGAAAAGAAAATGCATTTCTTTGCATTACTGCATGTGCGTCTCATCCATGCATGTTACCATGATTTCCATCATGGTTAGTGAGAATAAGAAAGAAAGAAAGAATAGTGAGAATAAAAAAGAATAGAGAGAATTAGAAAGAAAGAAAGAACAAAGAAAGTTAGAATGGAAGAACTGTGAGAAGTAGAAACAGTGAAAGAAAAGAGAAAGAACAAGTAAGAATGAAGAAGAAAAAGAATAAAGTAAGGAAAGAACTCACGAGTAAGTTGTGGGGATGTAAGATTAGAGGATTTACTTACTGAGCAATTAGTGCTCACCCTGTTGTTTCTTCTTGTTTTGCTGGAAATAGGTGAGAACCGGTCGGATGGACGTTGAGAAGCGGAGAGACATGGCATTACTGTCCATTGTTATCAAAGTTCTTGTATATGTTATTTTGCTATGTACAGAATAATATGTTATGAGTAAAGAATTATATGTTAAATAAAGAAAAATTTTGGGCCCATTATTTTTATGTTTTTCATAGTATAATTTCCGAGTATACTAGTTAAGAAAGAAGTTATTACATTATCGCACTGTTTGGGCATCCAACATTACACTTTCTAACCCTATAGTTCCCACACTATTGAGAGCTATACCCCAACTCCGTGGTCTTAGTTCACTACTAAGCTACTGGTAATCCTTCTTTTCCCTTAACCCCCACTAAAAAGCATTCATTATCTCTACTGACTTGAGCGTCGAAGTGCCTACGGCAAACACCACCCCGATGTTTTCCATTCGCTTCACGCTGGTTCTTTTATGTGTGTGCAAGTGCGGCAAATTGTTGGTGGCCTCAACCTCATAGGTCAGACCCTACTTCCGCAACTGTAAATTTTGATGTCTACAGTTTGGCGCCCACCATGGGGCTTTGGCAATCAGCATTCCCTCGACACTCTGCACCACAAGGGAATCAATCATGATTGAGACGACAAACAATGCTCCTACGGATCTCTCGGTGAAAATCGAGGCTTTAACGGCCATGATGCA